AGAGAAATTAGAAGCTTGAATTTCTTGGTTAGTTGGTTCCATTCTTTTTTTTTTTTTTCTAGGATTTTATTCATTGTTTCTTACATTCTTACCCTTTATGCAACTTAGCATCTAAATGTGGAAATTCTACAGCAACAAGAGACATTCTTATATATTACATGTATTTTTTGTTGGGGAATAAATTAATGACATTCATGATCTTTTGCAATATCAAATCGGTCAAAGTAATTGGAAGTTGAAAGACTTCAAATCTGTGTTTGTATACTTATCAGACTATAGATCAGATTTTGGATTGTCTGTTTCTTAATGTTAGATTGTTAGTATTAGATTGCTATTGCTTTGTTTCTTAATGTTAGTATCACTCTAACATTCCATTTAGAATTTTTTAGATTGTGCACTTATCAGATTTTAGATTAGACTGTGCACTTATTAGATTTTAGATTAGACTATGCACTTATCAAATTTTAGATTAGATTTTTTATTAGATTGTGCTCAACTATAACATTGGTTGTTTGTGTTTGTGTTTTAGATTATGAGTACTCCTGGTTCAAGTTCCAATCCAAGTTTTAATCCATCTGAAGCACAATCGAATACTGTGGTTCAAGTTCCAATCCAAGTTTTAATCCATCTGAAGCACAATCGAATACTGTACCATCTGGTTTACAAGCTTCTACTTAACCAAATCTTCAATCAAAAAAGGATCCTGCTTGGAGGCATATTATTGAACTACGGGATGAAGCAGGAAAAAAGTCATATTTTTGTACATTTTGTGAAAAAACATACAATGGTGGAGGTATCAATAGAATGAAACAACACCTTGCTGGAGTGTCCGGTAGTATTGCATACGAGTTGTCCCGGAGATTTAAAGTTTCTCATAAAAAGTTCATTGGATGAAAATACCAAAAAAGCAAACGATAAACATGTCGGCGTGCTCGGTGATACTTCGGGGATGAATGTACATAACTTGTATGATGTTGTTGTTGTTGATGATGATGATGATGATGATGATGATGATGATGATGATGATGATGAGGTTCAAGTACTCACCCAACAAAAAACTCAAAAAAAAAAAAGATGGAAAAAGAAAAGCTCCTCCTACCTCCTAAACACAAACTATGCCACCTTTTTTCAAACAGGGAATGCATGATTCATCTCAACCGTCAATTAAAGCAGCATTGCAAAGTAAGGAAAGATGGCATGAAACGGATTTTGCTCTTACTATGTGGTTTTATGATTCTTGCATACCTATGAATGTGGTAAATTCTCCCCTTTTCCAAATAGCAATGAGTAAAGTCACTAGTATGGGTCATAGATACACAAGGCCTTCATATCATGTTATGCGTGTGACGTTGTTGAAAGATGCGAAACAACTTATAGTTGATTCTTATAGACGTTATTGGGCAGAAAATGGTTGTACAATTATAAGAGATGGGTGGCGGGATACAAGACAACGACCCCTTATTAATTTTATGGTGTATTGTGCAAAAGAGATTTCTTTCATCAAATCAGTTGATGCATCGGATATTGAGAGTAATGCCCACACGCTACGCAACTTATTTAGTGAGATTGTTGAGATTGTTGGTCGTTAGAATGTAGTTCATTTAGGTGTTGTTTGTTTGTTTGTTTGTTTTTTTAAAACCACTTACTGCTGCACCGCGCAGCACACGCGCAACACTTGGACTTTCGCAGTTGTTTGTTTTCCTGAAGACTTCTGACTTAAAAATTGTTGCTCGTCTGTTGCGTGGCGCAACACTAAACCAACTGCTTCAAACCTCTTCGCACCTTACTTCAACTTACTGCAGCAGTCTGCAGACGTTAAAAAACAAACAAACTTTTTTATTAAATGTTGCAGCCTTTTGTTCCACCTCTTCTGCTACAGAGGATTGCAGAGGTTGTCCGCAGACTTAAGACATTTTCACTTTGAAAAAACAAACAGCACCTTAGTCACTGATAATGCTGCAAACTATAAGGCTGCAGAAAGATTGTTATGTGAGAAATATTTGTCTATTGTTTGGTCTCCTTGTGCAGCTCACTGTATGAACTTGATTATGAAGGATATGTCGGAGATGCCTCAAGTTGCTAATTTGGTTACACTTGCATCGAGGATTACAGTTTTTGTTTATAACCACAAATGGCCATTAAATTGGTTAAGAAAAAGACCAGGTTGGACTGAGATTATTCGTCCGGGTGCCACTCGTTTTGGTACTGCATTTATCGCATTGAAGAGTTTGTGTGATCACAAACATGATTTGCAAGCTATGGTCACTTCCCCGGATTATAAATGAGTGATTAGATTGGAAAAAGAAAAGAAGTTAAGCTTATCATATTGAATGGAAACTTTTGGAATAATTGTGCTATCATAGTAAAAGCGATGACTCCAATGTTTAGACTTTTACGGATTTGTGATTCGAATGAGAAGCCAGCTTTAGGTATAACTTTTTTTATATTTTTTAATGATGTTTACAAAAATATTATCATTTTTATTATTTTTAATACTGTTTTTTATAGGTTATGTATACGAAGGGATGTATAGGGCAAAAAAAGGAATTAAGAAACTTTTTCGCAACAACAAAGATTTGTACAAACCTTACACTAACATCATTAAAAATCGTGGGGATAGGATGTTGTGTAAGTCTTCATGCTGTGGCTTATTGGTTGAATCTAGTCTTTCAATATGATCAAAAAAGTTTTTATAAGAAACCAGAGGTGGTTGCGGGGGTTATGGATATGATTGAGTGTTATAGTAGTGTTGGTACTGTCAACGGTCTAACTCTGATTGACCAACTACAGTTTTTTCGTGAGCATGAAGGTAGTTTTAGTTGAACACATGTTTTTGCTTCTCGTAATACTACTCGTCCGGATAACATTTTTTTAAATTTTATTAATAGTGACTTTAGTAAAAAGACTATAATATTATTTTGTTATTTTTCAATTAGATGAATGGTGGAAATTATATGGTGGTGATGCTCCGGAATTGCAAAAATTTGCAATTCGAATTTTAAGCCAAACGACTTCTTCTTCCGGGTGTGAGTGAAATTGGAGTGTCTTTGAGAGAATCCACACTAAACGAAGGAATCGGTTGGAGCATCAAAGGCTTAATGGTCTTGTTTATGTTCATTATAACTTGCGTCTACAGTGGTAATTTGGATTCCGGCAAGAGAAGGTAGGCACTTGGGGATTCAATTTCGGGACGGGGAGGTCTACTTTTAGGTTTCCGGATCGATCTGATTGAAGGATTTAATATGGGTTTATAGGATTCAATCAAATTCTAGGGTTTTCGGTTTATATCTCTAAGTTGCAAGTGTGGTGGTGGCTGCAAAAAGCTAACAATAAATTAACAAATTTTTAATTTTTTAAAAAATACAATAATAATAATAATAATAATAATAATAATAATAATAATAATAATAATAAAGGTAATAAAGTCATTTTAAGTCGGTCAGGGATTAAGCGTGCAACAAAAACATACAATAGGGATGATTTGAATTAGACCTGACAATTTGAGACACGAATACACAAATCTGTTAGAGACACGACACGACACGAATACATGGATGACACGACACGAATACACGACATATATATTGAAAATTAAGATAAAGCTTATTTCTCATCGTGTAATCGTATTGTGTCAAATTCATGGATGACACGTTTTCATGACATGAATACACGAGTTGTAAGGTCTAATATGAATGTACTAAAAAGAATTTGGGACGAAACATAAAATTTTGACAAATCACAATTTTAGTAATGTGTTCTGATGGTTAATAATGCGGTAAACCGGTAAAGGGTTTTTGCTATTAAACACGATGGGCCATGTCATCAAAACCCAAAACAAATAGAACTTGCCTAATGATGGGCTAAAGAGTTTTGCTATTAAACATGATGGGCCATGTCATGAACCTCGCCTCAAAGGTCATGAGGTTGTTTTAGTAGTAGTTAATGCTTAATGATAGTTATTTAACTCATTTCGCATGAAAAAACATACACACACTTGTTCGTTATTCTTCTTTTCTTGCAAACAGATTGTGATAAATCAAGATATAGTTTGTAGGCATGAAATTTTTTTTTTTACCTCTAACAATACTCACATCAATCATCAATGTAATTAATCCCCTACATAAGTGTCCTATTTCTCAAGAAAAAAATAAAAATCCAATAAGAGATGTTTCAGAATTATCTGTTCTCAGTACAATGTTATAAAATAATTGTCATGCATCTATTCAGAGCTTATACTTAAAACAAATAAATAATTATTTTAATAGGGTAGCATTAAGGAAGTGATTGTTTATAAGAGTTGTCGTTATTGGTAGACTACAAGTTATTCAATGATCAATTTAGCCTAACGTTTTTGTTCCAAACATCTATCAAGTTTTAATTGTTCTTATCTAAACCAAACAAGCATTAAAGTTTACAAAAGAAACAACGGATTTCACTAACATTTTATAATAACAAAGTCATTTTCTTGATAAAGATGTTTGAAAAGCATCCCTAAATCGAATATTTTTATTTTCAATATTATGTTATAAAATAGTTGTCATGCAATGCAACTGTGTTGCTTATGAACCTAATTACATGGCGATGCCTAACCTCATGAACTAAATGGCCAATTCATAGGCGTCATTACCAAAGAAAATAATAGCAAATATAAAAGAAAGTGTAGTTATAGCATTAAAGTCCAAAGAAAATTATGTGACCTAACTTGATTGATGTTTCTTTTCCATTATAATTAACAAATATGATAAATTCAAATCTTATATTTACACATTCTACAATGAATAGCGACTATGTTTCACTACCATATAATTCTTTCTTAGATGTTAAGGAAACCCCAAAAGATATAGGCCATCCACATTTACCAAATATGAAAGTCTTTTAGAAAGTTTCAATTGCCAAAAGCATTTACGATTTATGGACATTGGATAATCATAATCACATGGTTTTAGTCTTTTATATACTTTGTTAGGTACAAGCATTGTTTGGAACTATTAAAATACGATATCAAACATCAAACAATTATCTTTCCAGTTATCTCCTCATATATAAAATATCAAATTCATAGAGATATGATCTTCGGATTCAATTTTGTTTCCATTTATGCTCTTTAAATATAAGAAAAATTAATGAAAGAGGTTCTAAACATCTTAATAAATATTGTTTTTAAATTGCATTTTTTTTTTTCAGAAACTACATGCATCTTAAGAGAATAATATTACAATTCATAACCCGTTTAACTTTATTAATAATGTTCATATCCTTGTGCTAGAAAACCAAAAAAAATCAAACACATGTATTTTTTTTTTTCTTTTTATGTCTGAAATCATCTATGAAAACCGTTTTCTTCCAACATCTTAAGAGTCTCATACTCTAATTTCTTTGTTTTTTATATATAACATTTCATAGTCTATTTTCTTTGTTGTTTATATATAACAAATAGGATTTCATTAACGCTAAGGAAGGAATTGTACAATTGAAGCCTTTCTCTTTGATGCTTTTCTCATGAAGAATGCAATTATGCAAAAAAGGTATCTTTCTATGCTACAATCCCGTTATACACATGTCAAGTAAATAAGCATACCACATTCCAACATTGTTTGACCCGACCCATTTACTTCTTCCCGTTAAGATCATACTTTCAAACCGATAACAAAGTACAATTTTGAACAATTTATCACTCGTTTCTTTCAGACGCATGCAATAGACGTACTATTCGAGTGTTTCTTGCTCTGTTTGCTTCCTTCGTCTTCTCTTTTTCATCTTTCTCTCTTCTATTTTAGAGAAAGAGACACGAAGCTTTTACTTTTAAAAGTTCCAACTTTTCAAAACCCTTTACACTAAACATGTGATCAATCACCTTCCATATGAATCGATAACGAAAAAGATTCCTTTTACAAGATACCCATTTTGACAAGACACCCAAAAAGGTGAAATTTTTATGTTGGGAGTTCAATTTTGATTCTTTAAAGTATATATCGATCGATACATAGAGGAAACGATTGTGATTGTGAAGTCGTTCGTGTGTCTAAAGGTTTTAGTTTCTTGCTCAAATCGAAATTCGAAAACCAAATTGTTAATTTAGGTTTTGGATATTCTCTCATATTCTCTCCATTTTTTTACATAAAAATGGGGGGAATGTCGTCTGATAATATACATGGACTCGTATTAGCTATTTCTTCAAGTTTATTTATTGGATCTAGCTTTATTATTAAGAAAAAAGGTCTCATGAAAGCTGGTGCTACTGGAATTAGAGCAGGTTTTCATTCCTTTCTCTAATATTTCTTTTTTTTTTTTATAATGATTCGCTGTTTTTAGTTGTATAAACTGTATAGGTGTATATCGAGAAATAGGGTTTATGATATCGTGAAAATATTTGTATTATAATGTGTGAATTGATCAATTGATCAATCGAGAATGATGTATATGGATTCGATGGCAATTTTGTAAATAGGTGAAGGAGGCTACACATACTTGAAGGAGCCATGGTGGTGGGCTGGGATGGTGAGCAGTAAGTTCTATCACATCACAAATTCAAAAATGCATATTATTTGTTTTTGTATTTATTTTTCAAAAGTCATTTTAAAAATTTTAATTTTTGTTTTATTTGTTTATTTAAACAATTGTGTTTCGGTTTTCAAATTAAGTTAGACTTCCATTGATACGTTCCGATAGTGTTTCTATGGACACAAGGTGTAACCAATTATACCTTGTAACCAATTATATATGTATACGTAGAAAAACTCTTATATTAATTTTATGTTTAGAAAAACTCTTATATTAATTTTATGTTTAGAAAAACTCTTATATCATTATTTACGTTTCAAATAAAACCAAATAGTAGATTTTTAGAAAAAACGATCAGCTAAAAATATGATATGATATACATATCCCTTATATTTCTTCGATTATATGCAAAAACATTCAACTCGAAATACATTTCGATTACTTTCACTCGATTGTATTCTCTATATGGTTGATTTTTCCCTCCTTAACTAATTGTTTTTATCCCAATTAAAATCAGTTTCGTATTGATAAACAAAAATGTAAGCGACATTAGATTTTTAGTTGTCAATCTCTCTTAAAACCCCGTATTTTGACCTTTTTCGAATGGTAACTATTAGTATAAGAGTTTTTTTTAATATAAAAATAATATAAGGGTTTTTCTGCATATACATATATAACTGGTTGTGCTATTTTACGATTTTAATGAAATTGCATTTATCACATGTAGTATAATTTGTCACAAATTCTGATGAGATATGGTTTTCCTTTTTTTTTTTTTTAATTGTAGTGATTATAGGTGAGGTAGCAAATTTCGCTGCCTATGCATATGCTCCAGCAATTCTCGTAACCCCATTAGGAGCTCTAAGTATGATCATAAGGTATTATGATTTAATATTTTATATGTATTTTGATTCATAATTGTTTTTACATATATTTATATTAAATTATGTTATCAGTGCAGTGTTAGCCCATTACTTTTTGGATGAAAGGTTGCATATTTTTGGTGTAGTCGGGTGTGCATTATGTTTAGTGGGTTCAACCGTAATTGTCTTGCATGCCCCACAAGAGACCCAAGTTGACTCGGTTAAACAAGTCTGGTTCTTTGCAACCGAGCCAAGTACGTGATTATAACATTATTATTTTTACTACATTTAACTATGGATTTGAGCACAAGTTTTGTAGGTGTTTATTCTAACATGGAATTTAAGGTTTTAACAGGATTCCTGGTGTATGCCGTTCTTGTTTTGGTTTTTGTTGGCGTACTTATTTACCGTTATGTGCCGTTATACGGTGGGACCCATTTGGTCATATATGTCGGGATTTGCTCTCTCATGGGCTCCCTCACGGTTCGTGTTATATTTCTTGTTCTTTATCATGTTTGTTACACAGTATATCACATGACAGAACAGGTTGTACTGTGTTTGGTGTAACAATACTGGAATGGCATTGGGACCAATGTCAATAGGACAAAAATTGTAATTTTTTGTCCTACACAAAAAGATGGAACAAGGTCTCGCTCTCGATCTCTTATATGTGAAAAAGACGTAAATGTCCTCTTCATTTTCTTCATCGAAGATAACCACACAAAGCTTGTGTAGTCCCGTCAAGTCCTGTCCCGTGAAACGGGACAGGACTGGTGAGGACCGGACATTAGAAGCTTTGTAGGGTTATCTTCGATGATTAGGATGAGGAGGGCGTTTACGTCTTTTTCACATATGAGATATCGAAAGTGAGACCCTGTTCCACCTTGTTCCATTTTTTTGTGTCGGACAAAAAGTTACAATTTTTGTCCTATTGACATTGGTCCCGATGCCAGTCTAGTATTGATACACCAAACGCAGTACAACGTGTTTTGTCATGTCATGTCCTGTGTAACAAACGAAACCTTATGGATTGGTGTCCTCCATCCATTTTTTTTTATTTTTTTTTTTGTGGAAATGTAGGTTATGTGTGTGAAAGCAGTGGGAATCGCTATGAAGCTATCATTTTCTGGAAGTAACCAATTTATATACTTCCAAACATGGATTTTCACCTTGCTACTATTCGTATTCTGTCTCACACAACTCAACTACTTGAACAAGGTAAAATCAAACAGAAGTTCAACAATGGAATCTTGTTTACAAAATACAATGTTTACTTAATCAAAAATTATGTAATTTTCAGGCACTAGATACCTTCAATACTGCTGTCATTTCGCCTGTATATTATGTCATGTTTACAAGCCTCACCATTTTAGCCAGTATGATCATGTTCAAGGTGATTTACATTTTACACTAACTATTAGACCTCGAATAACTTAAAAAAGAAAAATATTATGAACTTTTTAATGTTAATTTGCTTTTTGTTGTATTTACAGAATTGGAATCATCAAAATGCGACACAAATTGTGACAGAATTGTCTGGTTTTGTGACGATTTTTTCGGGAACTTTTCTTCTTCATAAAACAAAGGATATGGGAACTCCAGTGGTGGTGGAATCACCTAAGCTTTCACATTCTGTAACTAGAAGCACAAATGAAAGCCCCAGGCGGCCGGAGGTGTGAATTCTCACCGGTTGTTAGCGGTGGTGATGGTTGCCGGAAAGTTAACCTCCGGTGGCCGGAATTCTGACATGTTAGATTGTTAGCGGTTGTGGTGGATTAGAGGCATATGGTATCAAGATGCTGTGAGAAATCAGAAACATGAGAGATCTGTTCAGGAATTTAGCGATATTTTCTTACATTTTTATTGGTTATTTTGATTATTTTTTTGTGGTTTATGATGTTTATATTGTGGCGAATTTGTAGGTCTAACTTTTCAAATTTTTGATATTTGATTTAACAGATCGATCTTGTTAGTTTTCAAATAATATACTAATAGTTTTCATCTATATTTGAAGTTAAGAAAGGTACGACATTAGAAATCAATTGTGAAAGGTTGGTTTTTTAATAAAGAAAAGTTACATTTTCTGTATATAATTCAAACGAATTTTGGATAAAAGATGACAAAGAAAATGTTTTATTATACTCTATAGTTTGTTAGCTTTTATATTTATTTATAAAAATTTCGATAATAACGATGATTAGTCTATAACAAAACAACATATAATGGAATAAAAAGTTGATCATGTTACCAAAGGGTCTTGGTCTAGTCAGTATGAGGCGTCTGTAACTTCACTTTTATATGATTTTAGGTTTTTTGTAGTAAAATAATCTACTTTTGAACTTTGGTGTTAATGATGTTTCAATAGAAACATAATCATCAATAGTTGGGGAAAACAGCTCTTTACACAGCAATAGAATGTAATAATGGTGGGAAAGGAATGAAAGCATTTAGATGGAATGATTTAATTGTATGTGTTGTTGGTTTAAAGAATAGAAATATTAGTTCTGTGAATTGATTGTTGAAGCCGATGGAATAGTCGACATTAGGAATAAAGGAAACATGAACCTTGATGGTGGGGCTTAAGTGACAATGTGACAATATGAAGAGAAATTATGATATGCTTCTAGAAATTCAGGAAAGCCTCAATCTATAACTTTGTAAAAGATTGTAAATATATGTATTTGTTAATAATGACTATTTTGTCATTGTTAATTTTGTTCATTCCATCCTTTGTATGGCATATTGTTTTTTACTTAATAATTATTTATCAACTTTATTAAGCTATTTATCAACTGAACAACACAAAAACAGAATAAAAGGGTAAAACTGTCATATTTAGCATTTAATACATTCATGCAGAGACATAATCAAACAATATGATTTCAATTAGATAGATATTTAGTGTAACATCCTGTTTCGAATTGTCTGTGGTCAGGGATTGTGGGCCACGAGTTGGGCATGAGGAGGTATAGGATTGCGACAAGTTGCTAGAAGCGTAGGTCATCTTGTCCCCTTTCCATAGGTATGCGAATCTTTGGAATCATAGTTACATCAAGGGAGCTAAGGAAGTTTGGAGTTTTGGCAATAAGAGCCCCTAAGTTGAGAAACATTGCAGCGGAGTACGCTTGGTGTACATATGTGTACGCTTAGCGTATGTGTGCGCGTGATCCTTAAGCAAGAGCCACCCAGAAAGCTGGGGGTAGCAGGGGGTACGCTGGGCGTAATAGGCACAGAGTGGGAACCCTAATATTTTGAGTGACCTTATATAAAGAATGAGATGGCCTCATTCCTGGCCACCCACCCCAGAGAATAAACCTTCCAAAAGCTTTAATCCTCGTCCATGAGGGTTAATGAGTGCATGAGGGCCTTGAGGATGACTTTGTGAAGACTTTGAAGTGAAGAAGGATCATAGAAGGGAAAAGAGTTGGAGTTCAAACTTTGGATCTGAGCTTTCATGGGGATGAAGCATCAAATGAAGGTATAAAGTTTAGAGCTTTCATACTCCTTTTTTTATTTATGCTTAGTATGGTCCATTTTAGGGTTTTTGGTCCCAAAGCTTGAAGCTTTGTGAGTTGTTAAACTCCAGAGCCCATTATCCATCCTTTTGAGTGTTTTTGATGGAGTAGTTTCATAAAAATGAGATCTTAAAGGTTAAGATCCAATCATGCATGAGTGGAGAGCTTAATGAGTAAATAGAAGGAGTATTTTGTGTGTTGTGTTCACATCAGCCATGTAAAGGCTAAAAGTCTCTAACTTTATGGAATAAGGACTGTTAGGGAGCCTAGATCTAAGAGATGGGCTAAGGTCTTAACAGGTTAAGACCAGGGAAAACAAATCTGGGAAACTGAGAGTACGCCCTGCGTAATTATAGTACGCCCCACGTACTGGGTTGAGGTCCCCGATCAGATTCATGCACGATGTAGTACGCTAAGCGTACTAAAGGGGTATGCCCCGCGTAACCCCTCTGTGGGATTTTAGGCTAGACTTTGTGTAACGTCCCAAAATTCAAGGCCAAAAATTTCATTTTTTTAATATAAATAAGTTATTACATAAAACCACCAGTATAAAACCTTTCATAATAATATCTCGTGCCAAACCAAAGTGTCAATAATCAAAACATTATCATAAAACCATATCAGAGTGTAATCCCAAAGATCTCATGTGCGGAAAACATAGTGTGATGTGCTGCGATCGAGCCGACTCCTTTCCTTTGAAAACGAAGTACCTGAAACCAAAACTGAAAACCGTAAGCACGAAGCTTAGTGAGTTCCTCCATCATACCACATACAATATAATCACATAACATATAAATACTGTCAGGCATATCTGGGTGCCCGACCTACCCCTTCGATCCTCTCGACCGGATACTGGCTAGCATATATGGGTGATGGCCTCCCCTTCGGTCCTCTCGATCGAATACTAGCTAGCATATCTGGGTGCTGGCCTCCCCTTCGGTCCTCTCGACCGGATACTGGCTAGCATATCTGGGTGTTGGCCTCCCGTTCGGTCCTCTCGACCGGATACTGGGGACTATTTCATCCCTCTACTACTACCACATAACATATATCACATAATCATATTCTATCTAGTCTGACTGGGTATGACTACCCCTCTTCGGCCCTATCGATCGGAAATATTGGGGACTATCTCCCCTACTGCTACTGGCATATAACATCATATCATACTAGCACATAACATATCAGTTAGAAGCAAACCTAGATGAATATCACAAAGACAATCATCTAACATACAACTTCTACTGGTGGGCCGACATTGTGGCCGTAGACCCACCGCTACTGGAAGGTAACTCACCTCACACTGCTGAAGTCCCGCATACACAATCCCACACTTGCTGAAGTCCTGCAGACTCGACCCCAGCTGCTGGCTGACAGATTCCCGAACTGTCAACACCAAAATAACACCCAATTAATAATTGGGTCCCACTACATAACCATAAGTACATTCTTTAGGTAATTACTACATTACCCCTAGCTTGGCTTATTCAAGCCCAAGGCCCAATCCATAGGCCCAAAGTCAATTAGGAATCAAAGCCCAACACATGGCCCAATTTTCCAAATTGGGCCTAGGCCTATACATGGTCTCATTCTAAGGCCCAACATCATATAATCATTAAGGCCCATGTCCCATCTATGGCCCAATTTTCTAAATTAGGCCCAAGCCCCTTACATGGGCCTTACCTTAGGCCCATTAAATTATTCTAGTCCAATTGCTTGACTTTGGATGGTCCATTAATAACCCGATTATCAAGGCCCAATGAGAAACCCAAGTGAAGTTAGGGTTTCACATAAAATAATGATTAGGGTTAAGTTTCCTACTTAACCCATTAAGAACTTAATCTATTAAGGACTTAATCCATTAAGTCCGATATTGCTTAAATTAGCTTTTGCCAATGGTTGTTATTTAATATCTCCAGTTATTGAATAATTCCCGTGTGTCCCGATTAATTCCCCAAATTATTGGCATTAGGGTCTTCCAACTCAAATACTAGCCCATTATTAATTTGTTGGGCTTGTAGGTCAATTAGGGCTTTATTGGGCCTATCAAGCCCGCTAAAATGTCATCAAGCCCATTAGGGTCTTATTGGGTCAATTAAAATCCATTAGTCATTAGGGTTTTCACTAAGCACATTTGGATTTATTGGGCCCATTAGGCTAACAAGGCCCATTAGGGTTTCAAGCATCCCTAATCGAGTCAACTCACAAGACAAGCACACCGCCACTCGACACGGTGGCTGGTGGCAGCAGGAGGCGGCAGCCACCACCCTAAGGTGGTGGTTAGGGTTTCTTTCTCATTATTCCATTTTTCTTTTACAATTTACAATGAAATACCAAAAGAAACACACACCCTAACTAACATAAACACAAACACATGGTGGCGGCCACCACCTCACAGTGGGGGCAGTGGTGGTCTTCCTCAATTCTCCGACTACACAACCCATAAAATACGACTCTTGCTCGGAATGGGAAACCAACCACCCATTTAGTGACATATGGCAGTGGTTGTGGCGATTTCACGTCGGCAGCCACCACCTCGTAATGGTGGCAGTGGTTTTTCTTTGTTGGTTCCCAGTCAATCAACATACACAGCAGGCCCTTCCTCAAGATTCTGAGCACAACCGCCACTGGTGGCGCATAACGACAGCAACAGTACCACGAGTGGCATAGCAGCGGCAGTCATGGCGGCACCAATGAGGCTGAGACGCGGCGATGACGAGCAGAAGAAAGAGAAGAAGTGAATACAGTAGGGGAGGTGATGGTTAGCTGAAAACCAATGGTTGCTCGGCGACTTAGGTTGAATGAAAGCGATTCCTGTCGTCCGACTCCGATCCTCAACCTTTCTTCTCGTCGGAAATGGAAGCAGCGACCGCAGCAAGGCGACGAGGGCTCGACAGTCTTCAACCGATGGCAGCGGCTAGGGTTTGGCAGCACCCTCCATGGTCTCGGTGGCCCTCCCAACAGCCGCTATATCATTCATGTCCTTGCCGGCGTGGAGACACCGGTGGATCGAGCTTCAACAAGGAGATGCAGCCAGAGGTTGAAGACGAATAGAGAGAGAGAGACAGACAGACAGAGAGAGAGAGAGAGAGAGAGTGGCGGCTGATAGAAGGCAACTAGGGTTTGAATGACAAAGGTGGCGGGTTATAAATCCCGACCACTTAAAAATCTTTGCAAAATTACACTTCTGGTCCCTCCATCCCAAAAGTTTTCAATTAAAGTCCCAAATTTACCATATAGTCCCTTGCTTCCAAGAATTCTTTCAATCTAAGCCCAAAAGATACCGAACAACCCTCAACCCTCAAAATTCTTTACAATTAAACCCCATAATTACACTTTTAACCACCAAAATCCAATTTGTGACAATTAGCCCTTCGAGACCATCCTTTTATACATAATTATTTATTTTAGGGCTACTATTCGTTCGTTATTTTATTTATTAAATTAACAAATAAACAGGCGTTACAACTCTCCCCCACTTAAATTAGATTTCGTCCTCGAAATCATTTCTTACCATTCCTTACTTGCCCAACCACTCTAGTAGCATGGTCGCCAACTTAGGCACACCCTAGCCTTCCCAGGGTAGCCATGACCAATCCTC